GATGAGTGGCTGGCTCCCCCAGAAATGACTGCAGAAACCGAAGGCCTTGCTGGTGGGAAGGGAAAGGGGGCAGCCACCCTGGAAGACAGTCTGGCAGTTTCTTGCAAAGCTACACACGGGCCACTATTCAATCCAGCAATCGGGTGCGTGTCTAGACATGAACCCACAGGATGAGACACATGCACCAAAGCACACTGCGTATGTGAAAAGAAGCCAGCCCAGAAAAGCTCTGTGCTCCGATTCCAACTACATGACATCCAGACAGGACAACACCAAAGAGACGGCGGGCGACCAGGTCCGTGGCTGACGTAAGGGGAGGGGAATCAGCTGGGGCATGGGGTAACTTTCAGACAGCGAGATTCTTCTGTCTGATGCTGACATTAACCAGTCAGCAAGACCCAATGTCAACGTCGCCTGTGAGTTGCAAACACTGTGCTGGAAGGCGGTGAGAGGACAGAGGGGGAAGCGAGATGCAGGAGACAGGAGATAGGTGCGGACTCAACTTCCTGCTTGAGCTTTCTGTAAACCCCAAACTACTCAAGAATAAATCTAGGAAGGATTCATCAATCAGCTAGCATTCAGTGTGGGACTGAATCATCGATGGAGGTGTGACAGCTCATCGAGTCCCTTTGGAAAGCACTGTACTGAGACTGTAAGGGCCCTGGTGGCACAGGGGTTAAGTGCTCAGCTGCTAACAGAAAGTCCAGAGATCTGAATGGAGGTGCCTCTCAGCTGAGAAAAGGCAGCAGGTGGCTTCCACAGTGATGACAGATTTGGAAATAACTATCCTGTGGGGTCTCTGTGATTCGGAGTCGGCTCCACAGCAGGGGTTTAGTTTGAGTTTAGCGCCTCATGGCCGTTCTGCTGCCCAGGTCCCCCCTAGAGAAAGGCCCAGCAGTGCAGAGGCAGGTGCATGTGAGGTCGGCCACCGCCGCGCTGCAGAAAGTAGTGGTTAGTGCGGAGTCAGCAGCAGCAGCACACCTGGCTCTCCGAGGGGGGGAGTCGAGGAAGGACGGGGCTCCTTGGGATCCTGGAAAAGTGCACACCCTTCCCGATGACCATCTGTGTGAACTAGAAATCTCAGAAACAGGAGCAAGCGAGAGGAGAACTCCACTAAACAGAAGCACGGTGTTCAGAGCCCAGCACTGGGGCAGCCGGGGACGTGACGTCACCCACACCAGGCTGGTGGTGACCGCATGAAGGTGGGAACGAGCCTCGGGAGAGAGGAAGGCAGGACACACACACACACACACACACACCCCCCACCCCACCCCCACCCTCCGCGCTGTCTGTCTTGTTCTTTCTGACAACGAATGTGATCACCTAGGCCAAGGGGCACCAGTGGCCATCTTCAGCGGGGCGGCGGGAAGACCCTGTTTTGTGTTCCTTCACCCAGCTGAGATTCTGGGAGCACCTCCACGTGTCAGGCACTGTCCTGAGCTCTGGGGTCACAGCGAGAGGTATCCCTGCCCTCACAGAGCTCACGTGCTTTCGGTCTGAAATGCACCTCGGCCTTGTTTCCGTGTTACCTTCGTGACAAGAACCCTCCGTCACGGATGAAAAGCTACTTGCCTTCCCCCATCACCTTCAACCTGCCGGCCGGCCTTCTCTTCCTCTTCCTCTTCCTGAACCCTCCTGATACTGACCCTCCGAGCTCTGCCTTCAGAGGCTCACAACCTCCCAGGTCCTCAGCCATTTGCCAGGCAGGGCTGTGACCTGGTGACAACCCTGGGCCCCCATCCCTACAGTGGTTCTCTCCCTGACAGGCACCCCCGCTCCGCTGCACTCCCTCTGCCTCCGTGGAAGCTCCAGCCACCGACTGCACCTCCACCCCCCTAACCACAAGGTCGTTGACAGGCTCTCTGGTCACCCCGCTATTCCCTGATGACCATGGAAAGGGCTTCTGTCTTCTGTCTGTCCCAGGACCAACCAGAAGCCTGGATTCCAGCCCCGGCGTTGACACTCACCCCTTGTCCCTGGCCCTCCTCACAGATGGCCTCTGCTTCCCCTGCAGCTGGGTCATGTCCCGCAGAGATCTCCCACTGCTCACATCCCTCTGTGGGACCTCAGCCCCTCGCCATGACCACCCAACTCGACAAGACTCGGCTGCCTCACAGCCCTGGACCTTGCCCTCCAGGTTCCCCCTGACTCTCTGTCACCCCCTTCAACGTGGTGATGCCCTGAGTCATTCTCACAAGACCCTTCACACGGGGTAGGGTGGGGAGGGAAGCTAGCCATCCCCACCCCCGCCCCGGCTGGCACACATTCTGGACCACAACCTGCCCTGTTCTCTGAATCTCTCGCTCGCGTTACCTCCCACCCAGGAAACCAAGCACCTGGCTCCTTGATTTGGGTCTGCTTCCTCTTCCCTCCCTCCCCCATGACTGGTCAGGCCTTCCTTTGGAACCCCCTGCCCAAGCCCCTCCCCTGCTGGCTCTCTCAGTGGAAGGTGACACTGGGTCACACATCCCCCAGGCTGAATTCGAGGTGCCTTGCCACCTCCCCACTAAAATACCCAAACACCAAGCTCTGCCAACTTACCTCCTAACTCTTTCCGCTCCCCTCCCTCGAGCCCTTTAGCACAGCTCCCGTTCAGCTCTCAGCATCCCTAGCTGACAGCACCTCACAGCCCCCAAATTGTCCCCCCAACTCCAGGCATGACATGCAAACCGCAACCTTCGGGTCACCGCCATAGGCTGCCAAAGGGAGGGTCCCAAGACACCT